TGGTTTCCGATTTAAAATCTATTATCGAACGATTTATCGAATTTGAAACCATTTCGCATGGGATTATCCTCAATTTCAAACGACCGAATTTCAATTTGTCCTTGTTTCCTCCGCCACGAGATGCAATTTTTGAACAGTTGCCAATATTGAACAGATATGGAGTGAACGAACGTAATTTGTGTGAATTTTCTTCTTTGTGGGCAAAAGTAAAAGCAATGCACAGGCCACAAAAACGATTTCAAAACAAAACCAAAATGAAAGTTTTAAAAAAAACCACAAAAGAAATCAAGCACAAAACCCAACTGACAGAATGGTATTAGAGACACGCCAACGCAATGTGAAAGAGAAACAAAGAAGCACAGATAAAACCAGAGCTTGAGTCACTTTTTTTCCAAAAGGGAAACGTGTTTGCTGAGGATTTCAATGGAGTTAAAAATAGGACATAATAAAAGAATGAAAGAAATCAAAAAGCTCAATCTTTTGCTCTAACTCCCTCCGACGCCCACTCTTCCTCACCCTTTCTCTGTGTATGTTGGCCTTTTGTAAAATGTTAAAAGATAGAAATTGTTTAAAAAGGTCTGATGGGCGTCAACACTACTGACGAAAAACCGATGTAAAGATTGCTATTTTACTACTATTCAACAGCCCGGGTACCACATTATAAGTGGCATACGGTTACTTTTTACGGTAGTTTACAAAACGGTAACGGTTTACATTTTAAATTGCGTTTACTCTACATTTTCTGCGCTCAAGCCATTTAATAAAGAATTTGAATGTGAATTAACACCGTCGTTTTGCCAACGATCCCCAACGAAAATTTGCACCAATTCAATTTGATATAATAGAAAATCCTTATCTTCATCAAGTCACATTCGAATATTTGTACGTGTTGTATAAAATTTCGAATATTTAATATATGTACATTTTACAACCGAAACCAACTTACCAAAGTCTCACCGGTTAATTCTGCCTGAATAGTCTTGATGTTTGTCTCGTTAGTGGAAATTTATGTGAATTATAGATGTATGTGTTCGTCTATTTTCTCTGTATTTCTTCAACCGAAATGTATCCAAATGTAACGAATTGCTTGTGTAATTTTTCTTGGTGTTTTTGTTTGGGTTTAAATGTCAAATCGTTTCGTCGTTCGGAATTTTTTAAGAGTTTCTTTTCTCTTCGAATTTTATTCAGCGTTTTATAGTTTTAACATAAATTTCTTTTTCGTTCAAACATTCATTCGTTTGCTTCACTGAAATTTTTTTTGACTCTACTTTCTCACATGGAAAAGAAGGAGAAAAAAGAAGAAAATCGATCAAGTTTCCGTAAAATTTTCTCTCCCAATCGTTTTTGGTGTTTCAAAAACAAAATTCCTTTGATCCATTTTCTCGATGTTTCTCGTAAAAAGTGTTGGTGTTAGAAAAGCCCAAACTCATAAATTTGCTCTCTCTCTCTTGCTCCCGCCTTGTGATTGCTTAAACTACAATTTTATAAAATGAATGCATGCATGCACCGTGGCAGTGCAATAAGCATTGAATGTCTTGAATTTGAATGCACCAGAGTGTGTACAAATCTGCAGTAGCTAGCAAGCTATTTGATATGTGTATTGTTTACGTATTCTTTATTCGTTCGCTTATATGCTTCCGATGAATTGGCTTGGGTTGCTTGAAATGGGTTAAACGTCGGGGGCTCAGTGCGAATACAAAAGTTTTTTTCGCTTTCTGATGTGCGAATCGAAATAAACATGGAGTGCCATGTCAAAATAAAAATAAAGCGAACAACGAGTGGGAGTGGGTGGAGAGCGAGAGAGAGAGGGGGGGAGGAAAAATCTGTTTGAATGCATTGCCTGAGAAACCGCATGAAGATAAATAGAGTCGAAATCAAGGTAAATAAAAAGTCGGAATGTGAATACACACACAAGTCAAAATGAAAACCACACACAAAACAAACAGCCAAAAAAATTCTTCACCAACTTTTAGCCCTATTGAAATGCCATAGAACGAAAGGAAAAATAAAATCAAAAGAAAAGTAAAATCACACGGTCGTTCAAAATCAGTAGAAAAGAAAATTCGGAATAAATTTATAAAAATCTTTTCAAAATTATACGGAACAAATTTTCATGAGAGCGTGTGTGTTTGTGTGTTGTGGGTGAAGCACACGCAAATACACATACATACGGAAACCACCGTCACTGTCTGGGAGGGTAGATTCGATGGAATCATGAAGATAAACGAAACGTAAAAAAAAACATTGAAAATCATGATGAACGCGACCAAACAAAAAATGAAATTGAAACGAAGGGTAAAGAGAGATGGGTGCTCTCCACCATTTTTGGTTTCGTTCTTTTTTTCACGGCAGCCGCATTTTTTTCTGGCAGTGGAAAGGTGAACGCGTTTCGCTTATCTCTTTATGTGTGCATGGGTATGTTTTATTTTGTATTTGACTCTACAAAACTTTCGTTCTGTTTTTCATATTGGAATGTGATTGTGGTGTAACGCGTTGTTGTGGTTTTCAAGGCGGTTGGAAACGATCACGGAAAACGGTATACACACTCCATTATCAATCAATATTCATTCTCAACAAAAAAAAAAAAACCGAAACTTTGAAAATCAAATCAAATCAAATAAAAACATCGAAATTTACGAACCAAAATAAATTTCGAGTAAAATACATTGGGGGCGATTTGAAAGAAGAAATCAAATGACCTTATTATTTAAGGTGAAAATTCATTTTGAAGCAAATTATTAAAATGTCTATGGAAAAGAAGACGAAGAAATAAAACATCCAAATAAATACACCTTAATTGGGTCGAATGAAATCAACGCGAAATAAATTCTGCACTAATGGCCATTTCAGACTGATTTATTATGATGATGGTTTTTGTTCTGGATTTATATTTAGCAATTTCTCTTCATTTCAAATATATTATTGCTATCTATTTTGTTGTTCGTATAAATTGATTTTTTTTTATTCTGATGAATTTAACACGATTTCTTCGAATAAAGTGAAAATATAATAAACGTATGAATGCAATCAAAATCAACAAAAAACGATATCATCTAATGAACGAAAATCACATATACACTGAATTAAAACCGAAATGATTGAATCAAATTTGACACAGCGATTTAACGATAGTTGCGGGAAAAATGTTCAAACACAATATAAATCAAACCATGTATATACCAATCGAACACGGAAATTAAATCGATCAACGAAAAGCATATAGAAATAATCAAATAATTTTCCAATGAAATATTTATGATTCGATTTCGATCAATTTTCTTCTTGTTTATTATTTTCCATGTATAATTGAATTCACTCGATCAAATTTAATGCACACATCAAATTCACTTTACCATTTACCAAAAGCACGCACATTTACACTGTGTAGACCAGGTTATTAGTTTAACCCAATACAAACGAATATCGATTGCGATGAAAAACAACACACAATACTCGCTATTCTTATAGACTTCACTAGATTTTAAGTTGAGCTGGATGTGTTCTTTATTATAATTATTGATTGCACGAACGGCTGCAAAACTCCGTCAACACTGTTGAAAGTCAGCAGAGGACTGAATCCTTCTGACGAACGGCACCATCGTCTTCATCGTTTGTGCGAAGCTTTTTTTCCAATTTTATAGTATCATATCGGGTGGTCTCTTTCGTGCACAAGCAGCCGGTTTGTGTTAAAATGAGTACGGTGGATGGAGAAGCTCAATATTACCGTACAAATGCGTGAGTTTAACGTCCTTTAACTGTACGACAGGGTGTCATTCTATCCATCTCATTCTGATTCATCATTTGTAATTCGAATGCAACGACAACGACAATGAATGGCAAAAGGAAAATAGCTAAACAGAGAAAAAGGATTCATTGCATCGATCGATGAAATGCCAATGCCACAATATATTTTGATATTTGAATGAAAATAATGACAAAACAAAAGAATCCACTCAAATTATAACGGTCGATTTAATGATCATGCACGGTCGACACCGAATCGGATTTCATTTGACAAACGTACAAAAAAGTACTGACAATGCAACCCCAAACTAAAACCATATGATTAACATTTTGCAAATCGAGTACAAAAACGAAACGACCAAAAAAGCATACGGCAAACTTTTGATTAAGTTGAAACTTGAATATTGCATTGTAGTATCATAGAGAGAGAGAGAGAGAGAGAGAGAGAGAGAGAAGAGGAGAACAAGAGAGCAAACGAACAATTGCGGCTTTTACAAGTTGCAGCCTCTCCGAAAATGATGATTGTATAAAGGGAAATAAGAAGAGTCTTGAAATAATTCGTCAAAGTTGAAAAAAGGACGCCAGCATATAAAAATTGAGGAAGCTTTGTGCCGGACGAAGCACAAAGTTTGTCATCAATGGATAATTGCTACGTACATGCACAACAACAACAACTGAAATATATACACGCTTATGTAATGTTAAGTGCATTGAAAGTCATTAGCAAAAAGTAAAAACGGAACGTAAAAAAATATGATTCGACCATTGCATTGCAAATTCAAACGTTTTCTTTTTAGTTTGGCCCAATTTACATGATCGTATTTATTCTCTTTTTTAATTAAGGAAAACAGCGAACGCAAGAGTGACAGAAAGTAACGGCAAGCAAAATAGTTTTAATATGCATTTGTTATAATTATATACAATCGTAAGCGTATACAATACAGAAAAACGAACAGCTGCTTTATTGTTACATTTTCCAAGCATCCCATTTAACAAGTTTACTTTTAATATGCATTTGCTCTAAATAGGCTTCTTCAATTTATAATAGCTCACTTATGTATGTAAACTTCACGTAAAGTGCGCTTTTTTGCGTGAAAGGAAATTGTTATTATTGTCATATTGATTTTATGTTAATAATATATAAGTCACTCCATTAGAAGGTCTTATGCCACTTGTTTGAATTTAATGGAAAACTTCATTGATTTCAAAGCATTCTGTAATATTTTTACATCTCTAATAAGGAAACACTATCCGTCTATAGATTTAAAAATGCATTTTATTTGAAGATTCAATCTTATACAGCTAAATTAGAGCAAACGGCTTTTTGTTTAAATGGTGTGCGCTCTTACACTAAACAGTTTTTGTTTAAATCGCATACAAGGAATAGACACCACGTATATTTGAAGAAAAAAAAAGACTCTCTTTGGAAATAATGGAACACATGATAACTACTTTGATTTTTTATTTTTGCTTCCAAATCTGGTGATGTCCCAGGCGCCAATTGTATATCTAAACCAAATCAAGAATAAATCGCATCCCATTTGTAACCATGTCCAGACTGGTGTAATTTTTGAACCTTCAATTTCGGTCCAATTGACGCTGACCTCTTCGATTGGAATTTTCAGTGATTGTGCCAAAAACAGTAGCTCAACATCAAATGCCCATCGTTCGACGTGCAACAAGTTGAATAAATGATGTGCAGCCGATCTTGTAAGCAATTTAAAACCACATTGTGTGTCACGGATACCGCCACGCACAGCAAATAACCAAACCAAAAAATGAAAACCATGCATTAAAATTGTACGGAAAAGACTTCGAGATGCAATGGCTTCCTCTTCTAAATGTGCACGTGAACCAATTACAATTGCGGGATTTTCCCATTCATCGGGCGGTGTCAATTTTCGCATTTCAACCTCAAGTTTCTCTAAATCGGAAAATTGCGTTGCACCATCCGCATCGGCAAATAACAATTGACGACCACGTGCACTCAACATTCCCTGAAATTGAATGAAAAATCAAATTAAGTAAAATGTATCAACATTTTCTTCGGCTTGTTTATTTTCTCACCATACGAACGGCACCGCCTTTGCCACGGTTTTTAATTAGATTCAAAACACGAACTTTGTCCGATGTATACTTTTTGCTATATGCCAGTGCCACTTGAACGGTTGAATCTTTGCTGCCATCACTCACCACAATCACTTCATATTGGAATGTTTTGTCCTTTTGTGAACGATTTTCTAAATACTCCAATGCTTCGTCGAGCATTTTTGGTACTGCAAAATAAACCAAAAAAAAAAAAAATAGCGGATGTTGAAAACTATAGTCGAAATCAGCGATTTAAAATGATTAAAACTCACATCGTTGTTCCTCTTCATATGCGGGCACAATTACGCTTAGCGCAATTCGTGGGCTATCATTAATTGACGGAAATGGTTGTTTTGACTTTGACACTGGATCGGTGTAATATTTCTCATCTTCATAGCGAACGATTTGCGGAAGTGGTGTTGTAACTGCTTTTACTGCTATCCAAATCTAACAAAAATACATTTGATCCGAAATTGATTTTCATTTATGTGTAAAAATTATTGCAAACAAATTAAACTCACTGCTATGGCACAAGCAGCTAACATAGCTGAACCCATAAATAAAAGGCACTGAGGATCTGTCCAACAACTCATTGTGATGATTTAATTTGGTCCAAATAATTTGACAAATTCTTTGGAAACTAATTTCCAAATTAACACCCAAAAATTTGCTGCGGTTCTATTAAATCATTTTGTGAGAACAGACAAACACAGTTGATATCTATCGCCACGAATACCGACCACTGACAGTTGTCAGAATGATGCTTGTTTTATGTGTGCACCAAGATTGTTGCATGACAACCTAACACTTGGCAGTATTTTTTTTACTCATTTTACCTTCACTAGATGGCGCCCGCAACACATTTTTCATTCAAAAGTTTAATTTGTTTGTATTTTGAATTCGTTTTTATTTGTTCTTTTTTTTTAAATTTTGGAATACAATTTTATTCATTAACTTAATTAAAACAGCTTACTTCGAATAAAATGCTTTGTTTTTTCAGGATAAATTCCCTAATTAATAAATTTACTTCAAATGAAATAAAAAAACATTCTATTTTACTCAAAAAAGAACATTTGTTAATTCTTATAGTGAAATGCGGTACTTTTCAAAAAAATGAGCACTTTTTCTCATTGTATCTTCGAACATCGTTCGATGGAAGTGCATACCAGACTGGACGGACAGAATGTTAACTTTGCCGGACATTGAAGTCGTCGTGCGCGCATCTTTTGTTGTTGATCTTTAAAGCATAAAAAGTAATGATATTGTGATAAATTATCGACTAATTTTCCTTCTGTTCGGCATGGAACTTTGCGTTTTCCCTGTGGTTTTTTCTTCGATTGTCCATTTTTAACGTTTTGTCTTTGTGGCGGTGTAACTGGTGTTTGATTTATTTGTGGTTTCCGATATACTGGTTGTTGGCCAATTTTCGATGGTCGTGTTGGTGTTTGTTGTACCATTTGTGTCGTCGATTTTCCACCATTTGTTTGTTGTTTGTATCGCACTTGATGTGCAGCACTAAGAATTTTATTCGTTTCTAATTTGATTAAATGTGCCAGCTGCTGTGCTTTGACTGCTTCCGATTTAATGCGATGTGCTTCCATCATGGACATTTGAGGCGAGAATTTGCTATCAATTTGATTTAGATCGCCTACATAGCATTTCGCATATGTGTCGGCTGTACAAATTTTTGTTTCGCCACTGAAAGCCGTATATGGTGGACATGAATAACTTAAGATTTTGCCGGTCTTTTCATTACACACAAAATACCGTGTACAATCGGTGCTATTTGCTTGTCGTACACCAGTTGCACACGTTAATACCTCAATTTGTGATGATAATGCCGAATTTTTTTGTAAATATGGTTCAATTGTTTGTTGATAGGTTTCTAAACTCATGAAATTCCCATTTAAATTGACAAATTGCTTGTGGTTACCTTGGATTTGAGTGGGCTTATATTTATTGCTTGGCTTTTTTTCACCACCAATATTCGTTATGATTTGTGAATCAACACCAACATTGCTGCTGCTGCTGCTGCCGCCGCCGCCCATACTACCGATGCTTTCCATTGAATTTGTTTTTTTATGGAAATTATAATTTGCTAACACATCCATCACGTTTTCATTACTATTTTGCTCTACATTTGTGTTCACATAGTCGTCATTGTTTTCGTATTGGTCATTGTTTGCGTTGTTACTGCTGCCACCATCACTCGGTTCATTCGAATCAATAAAATGATCGATTTTATCGGCGATTAATGGATGTTTATGATATTGCCCAAATGATTCAGGTGGATCAGCATAGCTTGGCGTTGGACTCGATGCTGTTGCGATGGGAACGTAATTTACGGGTCTTAATGTAGGATATGGTGGTTTTTGATTGATGTGCACAATTTCGTTTACATTATTTTCACCTATATGTGGTTGTTGTGTGTATGCAGAAAAGAATTTTTGTGTATAACCGCCGTCAATTGATGCAAACGTTGGAATTGGGCGCATCGCATTGCTAACAATGGTATTTGTCGGATAGACGGGAATATAACGATCCGGTTGTGATTGAGCAATTTGAATGTATTGAGGTTGCTCTACATTTGCATTATAACTTGTTTGCTGTGTCGAAAATGGAGATGTATAATAAGTAGGCATGGTACTTACAACTGATGGACGTTTTTCTATAAATGATGGATTTTTTTGCTGATTTTCCGAAAATGGTGGATAGGGATAATAATTATTCAAATCGGTATGATCTGGTTTTTTATTCCCATAGCTATCGTACCGATCGTCGATTGGACGTGGTGTTGTTGAAGCGGTGACATGATAGCGATTTACAATTGAATTCGATGGGCTTGGATGAGCTATTGTTATAGGAACATGATTGTGGATAATTGTTGTTGGACCAGTATCGTCAGGTTCACTTGATTCATTTGGTGTTGTCGGCACACTTACTCTCACCGATGAAATTTTCTCCATTGACACATCATCATTTTGGGTTTTATCGAACTTTTGCGAAGTTAAAGCACCAAATAATGAAGACATCGGCAATTTATCCCATGGAAAATTATAAAGAACTGGTTGAATAATTGGTTGCGCATAACTATTCGACGGTTCTAATGAATGCACAAAATTTGGTGTGTTTGGTGCTTGATTTGCCATATTTTTTGTTAATTCCAATAAAGTTTTCAGTGTGTTTTCACTTATATGATTTTCTGGTTTCTTTTTACTTGGTTTTTTTGTCGTTGGATAGTCGGAATGTGGTAATCTAAAAACAACGGAACCTCCGGGTCGATTGACCACAATTTGTGATGTTGAATGTCCGCCATCGGGAAATCGTGGATTTTTTAAAGCATTTGTTGCCTTGATGTGAACGGTCGTAGCATCGGCTGGATAAACACCATTTCCGGTGACTGTGAATTTTACCGGTGTTGGCGGTGTTGAATATGTATTTCGTGTATTTGCCAAATTGTTTAGTCTTTTCTGTAAATCTAAAATTTGCTTCAAATGATGTTCTTCAATCAATTTATTGTGTGGCACCGGTTCAGCTTTGGTATTACTCGGATACTTTTGATGAACCAATTTATGTAAGGACAAATATTGATTTAAATCATCAGGTGTTAGATCGGAATGCTGATTATTGTTCACCTTTCGTACCAATTGAGATAATCGCTGCAATTGTGATGAAACTAAACCATCAGAGTTATTTGGAATGGAAATGTAACTTGATTTATTTTCTAAATCATCTTCATCTTCGCCGTCACCACTTGATTCGATTTCATTTTCACTTGAATTCGAATACGCACTCGATTCAAATGACATCGTTCCATTGTTTGTCATCGTTATCAATACATTTTCGTTATCATCATCGTCGTTTAATTCTTCTTCGTCTTCTTCATCTGTTTTGTCACCATCAGCATCATATCCTTTCACTTGCTCTTTCAAATAACTCAAATTATTCACACCATACACATTGTCGTCGTCAGCACTTGATGATCGACTTTCCGTTTCCAATTGACATTCCCAATCATCACCTAAGTTTTGAAGAGAAATTATTACTTTTTATTACGAATTTTCGCAGAATTTTTTTGTTTTTTTTTTTTTTTTTTTTTGAAAAAATTGCACTTGGTTTATTTTCTCATTATTCCTTATATTCCAAATATTCAAACACAAAAAAAAAACATTTCTCACCGGGTAAAACACAATATCCATAATTTACATCGTAAACTAAACCATTTGGACAATTTTTTGCACTCCAAATGATGTTATCCGATTCCATCACCTTGCATCTGTAGTACATGTCACACCGCGTCAAATGCGCTTTGGTCGCTTTGTCGGGACACGTTCGAGCACCTAATCACCAACCAAGAAATTCAATTAACGTTTATGAAAATGATAGATAAAATGATTATTATTGTGTCACTTCTACCTTCTGCACAAAGTATTATCCCATATAATATGAGCAAGCGTTGTATTATTAACATTTTCGAATCGAACTACATATATTGTTTTTTGATCAAAAAATTAACAATGTTCGATCCATGAACTGTGGAACGAATTTATATACAATCCATGAATTTAGATAAACTGGTAATTTTGCAAAACATCACAATCTTCAATGATTTTTTAATTATTATCCACTTCAATCTTTTTATAATTTAAATCCGTTTTATTTACTTTCGTTTTACACCTTGTTAAAAATGTAAATCAATTTTCCGTTCAAAAAATTGCAATGAATAAAATGAAAAAAAATATCGGAATAAAAATCATGAGCCGAAAAAAGATGTTGACTTTGCTATGGTTCGTTTCAAAATGAACGAAAATCGTCCAAATCCATGCGCTTCACACTTAATAATATTATTATACGGTCGTGCCAAACCATCGTTCTTGGTTGCGGTAATTTTTACGGCGAATGTTCGCACAAAGTAGATCATAGTATAAGACAGCGTGAGGTATTACAATAGTTGATCACATTGTGTTTGTATTTTGTGCGAGTAGTTGAAGGGAATATGTGAAAACTTCGAAAAAATGAGAAGTCGAGACTAGACCATCAACAATGCTATGTAACCATATAGAGTATGTGCTGCTGCCACTAGCACACATAGCAAACAAAGGAAAAGTGCTAATTGGAAGTGCGTTCGTCGTGTTTACGTTGCGACTCAGCGTGAAGAATTTGGTCACATCGTCAATGTTGTATGGTTTTATTTTTCGTATTGTTTGTTCATTTGAATAATGCAGAACGAAGAAATCGGAACCAATACATCTATTTTCATTGAAAATCAATTAAATTCTTTTCATTGAATTCTTTTAATTTATATTATTCACAACTTTCATCCAGTCTATTGTGAGTTATTCATTTCATTTACTTTCATTTTTCGCATTGATTCGATGCAATATGACCCATCTAAAATGCATTCATTCTTTACAACATAACGGCACACAATTTAGTTTGCTTAATAAGAATTGTAAAGCACAACAAACGGTCATGTCTTTTTATTTGCGAGAACAATAGAAAAAGAAAGTAAAAAAAAAACAAACCATACAATGTTGCAAATGGCACAAAGAAACCTAATCAAATTAAGCAAAAAACCTCAACGCAAGAAAGAAACAATAAGACTTGCATTGTTTTATAGCCACTGGATCAACGAAATGTGGTTCATGATTTCGTTCTAAATCAAACCTTCTTCTGGAGACTTCTACACTTTTGTGCGATTTTAAAACCATACCATTGCCGAATTTCGTATTTGAGAATTTTCTCCGTTTCACTTCAAATTCAACACGTATGTGGCCAAGTTTTCAGTTCTGAAATACAACAAAAAAGGTTTTTCGTTTGCAACCACTACATTATTATCGCACTAATTTATGATTTTAAAAAACTTTCCATAATTATGAAAATAATTATGATCCTAGAACAAAATATCTTTACGATTAAAATCAGTATTTGATTAAAAACAAACTGTTGGGTATTGTCCATTTGGCCGACAAAAATTAATAGAGTTTCTTGACTTACTCATCCTTTTTCAAACACTCATTTGTTATGACTCAAGAAGTAATATAATTCATTACCCGAGGTGAATTCGTTTTTTTTTCTTACGCACATGAATGCTTGAAATCAGTTTTATTTTCAGCAATTCCAACTATATTTTTTGAGTGTTTTTTTTCTCATTTTTGTCAGCAGCACCAAAGAAAGTTAATGAAAGTAAATGATAAATAATTTCGTCATACACTGAGAAAATTCTCCTTTAAAAATGTTTTCGGCAATCAAATTATGTTTATCAATCTGTAAATTCATCACATAACGCAAATGGAGATAAAAAAGACAGTAAAAAGAAATTCCGTTTTTGTTTTCTTCGACAATCTTTGTTAATGGTGTCTACAACACTTGCTAAATACGTATACTTTATTATAAATGGAACCATTCTAAGAAAAACCACGCTATTTGGAACTTCCGACGAAAAGTACAAAAACCACATTCAACGAATCCAGTTTTAGACGAGTAAAGTGTCTGAGACAATGACCCATTGCCACAAATGTAACTCATTCGTACAACTTGTTTGTCACATTCGCAACGACAACCAATGCGACGCAAACATTAATTCAAGCAATTAAACCTGTGTTTAAACTGTTAAGAGCAACGAAATGCGATCGTGTTTTGGCGCAAAAAATGAAAGTTTGACACACAGAGAAACTATAAGGTCAATAGAAAACTTAATTAGTCACTTTTTAAAAATTTCAACGAAGAATTAGAGTTTAGAGAAAGAAATGAATTCCAGTTTTTTGAAATTTATATTAAAGAACAAAATTCTAAATGTTACAAGTCTTTTCACTCCAAATTACGCGAAATCTCATTATTTTTTATTGATTTAATGGTATTGTTATCGTTAACAAGTCTACCGCCATCGGTCTGATTGTTAATTGGTAGTAAATGTTACACCACTGCATATATTATCTGCGAAAACCGTTACACTCGGTTAACTTCTATCAAGGAGTTTGCCTACAAAACTGAGGAAAATATACTCACTTCAAATACGGAGTCGGATAATATATTTTATTTTTCCGGTTTCACATGATTAAATTCTTTAAAATATGAATCCAGGGAAGAAAGTGATTTTGACGTAGATTAACTTTGCTTTATCAATTATCGTGATTCGATAGACCAAAAACTGTGTCAGACAAAAAGTGAGAAAACGTGGATTTGGTTACACATTTAAATTCATTGGTCAAATTTATGCGCTCATAAATATTAAGAAA